AAGAAATCCATCTGAATCATACCAGAGAGGAAGACCGTTTGGAAGAGGTGAGGAGTGCTAGAGCCGCGGCGGCGACACAGCAGAGACACAGCCACGCCAGGCCGCGGTGAAGCAGGCAAACAGCTGTGCTGTGTGCGCGCTCGAGAAGCAGTTTCCACATCGAGAGAGACCCGGCTGCAGAGATTCTGCTTGGACACTCCAAACCAGTGAATAGCAGCTCCCTAGAAGCTAGGATAAGTACACGTGCGCACCCTTTCATGGCGAGTTAAAAAAAAAAAAAAAAAGCCCATTTGGAAAAAACCTCTCTCCCTTTTACCTCCTACCTCCGTGCTCTGCACCAGATTTGGGAAAAACCTCTCTTCCTTTTACCACCTCCCTCCCTGCTCTGCACCGGGAGTCCACTGGGTCGGAAATAGATCCCAAAAGGTGCCCTGACCCATTCTCCTGGCTTTGGAGAGGGAACAAACAAGCTGCTGGCTCCCCTAGGTCAGGAACACAGGGTCGGCACAACTCATTTGCTGGCCATAGAAATCAGGGGCCCGCAGACTCTGAGTGCCATACACCCCTGTATAGACTTGTGGGGACCCATATCAACTGTGTTAGCCCTCACTACCACAGTACAACGGGGCAAACATCTGAAGTTTAACTTCAACTGCTTCAGCTGCGAATGGGCAGATTTGTGATCCTCGAAACAGCCCTGCCCCTCAAGTAGGCACTTTTGTCGATCTGCAGCAGGGTCTAGAGGACTGGTGATAGTTCCTAAAGTGCCTAGCCACCTGCTTCAGGAATTCAAGAAAAAGTGGTGCCCTCGAGTCTTTGCAGCCAACATAGTCGGGTGCTCTTAGCCTGGCTGCAAAACTCACCTACCTATTCACCCTAGAGAATAGGGACACGCTTTTCTTTCAGACTCTCAGGGGCAGCCGTTGGCCCCCTGCTTGGCTCAGCACGTGATCCCCTACCACAGCCAGAGTCCAGTGCCTGCACCAATCACCCATGCTTCTCTAGGACTGGGGGTGAGAGCCTGCATCACACACTTGGTGATCGACTGCCTGCACACCCGAGCTGATCCCATATAGGAAATTTTAACAAACTCTGGCGTGCACAGACTTAGTTACAGAACGAACTACCTGGTGACAGGACATTAAAGATCAAAAGGTGTCAAAAATCAAACTAGTGCACATGAGCAGCCTATCTGGGCATATCAAAACAAAACAAAATAAGAAGCTAGGTCTCACTAAGCAAACACAAAATTAAATTATAATAAATTATTGGTGGCTCAGAAACAACAGTCAATATGAAGTCACATACAGAGGCAGTCCATGATGGCTTCAGCAAGCTCCCAAAATAAAGGATCAATAAATTCTCTGGAGGAAGAGAAGTTCTTGGAATTACCAGAGACAGAATACAAAAGACTAATATACAGAACTCTTCTAGAAATAAGAAAGGAAATTCGACAGAACACATAAACGGCCAGGCAACATACAGACACAGTAGTAGTGGAACTTAAAAAAGTTATTCAAGAACATAATGCCAAATTTAATAGGCTGCAAGAGTCCACAGAAAGACAGCAATCAGAAATCCAGAAGATTAACAATAAAATTTCAGAATTAGACAACTCAATAGAAAGTCATAGGAGCAGAATTGAGGCAGTAGAAGTTAGAATTAGTGACATTGAAGACAAAGCTCTTGACACCAACTTACTTGAGGAAAAATCAGATAAAAGAATTAAAAAGAATGAAGAAACTCTAAGAGTCATGTGGGACTCTATCAAGAGAAATAACTTATGAGTGATTGGAGTACCAGAACAGGGGGGAATAACAGAAAATACAGAGAAAATTGTTGAAGATTTGTTGATAGAAAACTTCCCTGATATCATGAAAGATGAGAAGATATCTATCCAAGATGCTCATCGAACCCCACATAAGGTAGCTCCCAAAAGAAAGTCACCAAGACATATTATAATCAAACTTAAAAAAACCAAAGATAAAGAGAGAATTTTAAGGGCGGCTAGGGATAAAAGAAAAGTCTTCTACAAAGGAGAGTCAATTAGAATAAGCTCAGACTACTCAGCAGAAACCATGCAGGCTAGAAGGCAATGGGATGACATATTTAAAGCCTTGAAGGAAAATAACTGTCAGCCAAGAGTTATATATCCAGCAAAACTGTCTCTCAAATATGATGGAGAAATTAGGGCATTTCCAGATAAACAGAAGTTCAGGGAATTTGCAAAAACCAAACCAAAATTACAAGAAATACTAAAGGAAGTCCTACAGTTAGATAATCGATAACACCAGCTAACAACGCAAGACTAGAACACAGGACAGAGCAACCAGATATTGACTCAGATACGAAAATCAAAATTACATCAAAGCTAAAACACTGAAAATAGGGAAACATATCAGTATGTAAATAAAAAAAGAGGATAATATTAAAACAAAAAAGAGGGACTTAAAAAATGGAGACATTGATTTTCTATATGGAGGGGAAGTTCAGGCGATATAAAGTAATAAAAGACTGGTATAAACTTAGAAAATTAGGGGTAAATATTAAGGTAACCACAAAGGAATCTAACAATCCTACAAATCAAAATAAAAAAGTAGAAAAACATAAAGACCCAGCAAACACAAAATCTACAACAAAGAAAAAGATGAAAAAAAAATACATAAAAAAAACTCAGCACAGAAAATTGAGGAGAACAAAGAAACTGTGAACAACACACAAAAAGAGATAACAGGATGATAGCACTAAACTCATACCTATCAATAATTACACTGAATGTAAACAGACTTAATGCACCAATAAAGAGATGGAGAGTGGCAGATTGGATAAAAAAGCATGATCCATCTATATGCTGCCTACAAGAGATGCACTTTAGACTTAAAGACACAAACAGGCTAAAACTCAAAGGATGGAAAAAAATATATCAAGCAAACAACACTCAAAAAAGAGCAGGAGTGGCAATATTGATCTCTGACAAAACAGATTTTAAAGTAACATCCACCGAAAAAGATAAGGAAGGGCACTATATAATGATTAAAGGGTCAATACACCAGGAGGACATAACTATAATAAATATTTACGCATGCAACAACAAGGCTCCAAAATACATAAAACAAACTCCGACTACTTTGCGCATTAACAACGCACATCTGGCAGTAACAAATGCCGAGGCACCAGGCGAGAGTAAAGCTGGCTGTGATGGTTAAGGTTATTTGTCAACTTGGCCATGATTCTCAGTGGTTTGGCAGTTACATAAGGATGTAATTTGGCAGTTATGCAATGATGTAATTTGGCAATTATGTAATGATATAATTTGGCAGTTATGTAATTATGTAGTCATCCTCCATTTTGTGATCAGACCTGGTCAACCTCCATTTTCACATAACACCGATTTTCACATAACAACCTGGTCTTTGGAAACTAACCGTGTCGATAAGTGAGGAGTGGGTGTATAGCTAAAAAGGTAATAAATTAAATTCTAAAAAGTATTAACATAATTCAAAAAAATGTAGGACAGAAAAAACAGAGAAACAAAAAACAGAGACGACAAACAGAAAATAATAAAATGAGAGACATAACCCCAATGGTATCAATAATTAAATGTTGGTAGACTAAATACTCAAATTAAAAGGCAGAGATTATCAGGATGAACAAATAAACAAGATCCAATGATATACCTTGCAAGAAATACAATTTCTGTGTAATGAAACACATTGATTGAGAGAAAATGGCTAGGAAAAGATAAACCATGCAAATAGTAACCATAAGAAGACTGTAGTGGTTGTATTTATATCAGAGTATATAAACTTCAAGACAGAGAATATTACCAGAAATAAAGAGGACATTTCACAATGATATGTGTCAATTCATGAAGAAGACGTAACAATCATAAATGTGTATGCACCTAACAACAGGGCTTCAAATCTCATTTTGGGGGGAATCTGGACTCTAAAGAGATTATCCTCAACTAGTTGAAAAAAAAGTTTGCTTATAATTTTGTGGCACATGAAAGAAAACAAACAAAAAAATAAATAACACAAACATCTAGTTTGCAAATAAAAATTGCAAATAAATAAACAAAAAAGTATTTAACCTCACTGGGAATTTGAAAATATAAAAATAAAGCACAATAAGATATCCTTGTTTTACCTGTTATCTATTTTTTTTTTTTTTTACTTTTAATCCCAATGCCTAATGTTAGTGAGTGTGAGAGGGGTGGGGAAAGCCAACAGTCAGATTTGTTGCTAAAAAAGGTTTAAATTTTTCTCAGGATAATTTGGCAATATATATCAATACATTTAAAATTTTTCCTATGCCTTGACCTAGTAATCCTATTTGTAGAACTTTTATCCTAAGTAACAATTATTGATGCATAAAAAATTAAGAATAAGACTATTAATCACAGTATTATTTGTAATCACAAAAAATGGAAATCACATAAATATCCTATAATTATGGTTAAATAAATCATGGTAGATCTAAATGCCTCTAGAATCACATGGAGCTAGTTTAAGAAACATACTATGGTGGATAGGTCCTAGCCTCGTGTGTGACTGAGGAGGACAAGCTGTGTGGGAACCAAAAAGCAATCTAAGTAAACACGGTTTCAGCAGACATTGACCAGTCACGCTGAAGGCTGAGGGCATCAGGGCCCAGAGCAATGGAAGAGGTGGTTCCCTGGGGGTGGTTGAGAGGGGCTTTCTTCCTTTCTTTCTCTCCCTCTTCTTCCCTCCCTCCCTCCCTTCCTTCCTATCTTTCTGTGTGTCAAATAGTGTCAAGCACAAAGCAGTTGGTGACGGACTGATAGTGGTAGCCCCAATCTTTATATAACTGAGGCCTCCAGGCCAGCCTAAATTTTGCAAATTCAGAAAAGTCTAGGAAGGATCCAGGGCCAGCTGAACTTGTATGAGACTGAGAAGCCTCCTAGGGAAGAAATTCTCCCAAGGAAGGAGAGTCAAGGATTGTAGCTCAGTCCAAAGAGTCAGTGGGAGAGGGCCGCAATGATGAGCATGGCAGAGATCGTGCAACTCAAATTCTTGACAGGTGCCACTTCCTCTCCTTCCTCAGAGAGACTTTGGTAGAGCACCAGGGAAAAATCTATAACAAAAAGTAAAATATCTCTTCCTTCAAAAACTCTTCAAGTCAGAGAAAATACAAGGCATCACTGCTTTGTGGCTCATGTAGTGGATACGGCTGAGGTCGGGAAGTGAGAATCCCCAGCAGCCAGCGTCCGGAGTTGTGAAGAATCATGGGGATTTGGGACCTGGGCTAGACCGTCCTGTGTCCATCTGCCAAGGCGGCAGCCGCGGGCGAATCCCCTCAGCAGCTGGAGGTAGGAGGAGTGCACAGCGCCGCCTAGAGGCAGCTGGAGGAATTGAGTGTGGGAACCTGTGCTGCACGAGCAGATTCCCTGAGGAAGACAGACAATATTCTCCTGAGAATTCCTGGGGTTGGAACTGAGTTCTCAACTCCGCAGACTGGGATAAAGTTCAAGGGAAGTGGTGTGGCCTAGGGAACCGGAGTTTTCATCATGTGTTTTGCTTTTTTTTTTTCCCGAAAATTACACAAAAGAGAAAACTGATCTACTTCAAAGACCGTACTCCCATCATCATAACGATTACAAGGTGCTGATAAAACGTAGCACCTTACCTGTAGTATAGGAGCGTCCACTGTTTACAAGCACCACTTACAGATTAGAGAGAACTTACTGATTGCTCATTCCCAAGTTACTCTAATGTGGGCATTAAAAAGGAAGGTTTTTGCTCACTACAAGTACACTAAAATTGTTGCCAATCTTTCCTCTAATGAATTAAGTGCAAGGTTTGCCTAACTGAAATAACTACATTTTTCAAAAACATAATTAAATCTATATTATAAAATGCTTCCTTTATTTGACAAAATTCTATGTGCTCTTTGAATTTTTTTTTTTTTTTTTTTTGTGAATTCATTGTCTTCTTTAGCTGGAATTAGCAAGAAAAGAGTAAACAGGTATTTGGGGAATTTTTATTGCTAATAGTATTATTATTATAGACAAACACACAAAATAAATTCTTCAGTGTGTGTTCTGTGGCTTAGCTGGTCATAAGCAAACATTTCTAGGACTTTAATAATTCTAGATGTTAATCAGATTTTAGTAGCATCTTGTAACAATACGGTCTGCCCCCATCACTGTATTTTCTGACTTGTAGCTATCACATCTGTAGTCTGTGAGCACATGCCCAGGCTCCACCTCAGGTCAGCTTTGACCCTGCTGTGGGTATTGGCTTATCATTGGTCCATGGTTTATCATTGACCATCAAATGGCAATGATGGGTTGTATAATGAGTTGGGTTGTATAGTGTTTTCTAGTTTTCTTTCTGTTTTCTATAGAGACAGCAAAGAAAAAAAAATCAAAATTGTATATGGCCTGAAATGAACGTCTTCCGTGGATCGTGACTTGTGTTAAATGTACGTAGCCTTGCCTCGACTACAGAGAACTAGTTCCCATTTCAATATTTACAAAATGTATTATTAGGAAACATAGAATAACAAAACATGAGGCAAAAGGTAAGAATTCGGGTTTTATTTTGCATTTGTTAAAGGGATTTGGTCTCAATAATGGAAAGAACTTGAGAAATGGGAGTTGTTAAGCTATGCTGGAAATAATTTTTAAACAAAAGCAGGATTCTGATTCATCTCTTTAGAATTATGTGAATGAAATCTACTTGGAGGATATAAAGGAATGGAAGAGATTAGTAGATGACCTTAGAAGAACTCGTACAACCATGTTTTTTAAAACTGTGACCAGTTTACCATTAGAAAAAGGAGTGGGGTAAGTATTACCTGGTGATTTGTGTGTGCACGCGCACGTGTGTATTTGTGTATGTGATGGTCAGTCTGTTTTCATAGGTTTTATGGTTTCTTAAGGGACAGTGGTGATTCAGTGGTAGTCCAGTGGTAGAATACCTCCCTTCCGTGGGAGAGACCCCGGGCACCTCATGTACAGCCACCATCATTCTGTCAGTGGAGGCTTGCATGTTGCTATGATGCTGAACAGGTTTCATCACAGCTTCCAGACAAAGACAGACTAGGAAGAAAGGCCTGGCAATCTACTTGCTAAAAATCAACCAATGAAAATCCTATGGATCACAATGGTCTGATCTGCAACTGATTGTGGGGCTGGTATAGGATTGAGCAGCATTTTGTTTTGCTGTGCATGGGGTCACTGTGAGTTGACTGCTGACTTGGCAGCTAACGACAAAAACTATTTTCTTATCCCTTACACACATACCCATAGACTTAGCTATAAATGGTCCGTATAGAAGTAGATTTGACCAAAAATGGCAGAAACTTTCTCAATGCCTGCTACACTGTCCTTCTCTTTCCTGCCATCACTAAATATTGATTTCCAAAATGGATACTTTCAAACCCCTGATCCCCCCACCGCTTTTTAGGAAATAAACCATTTACTCAACACATAAACGCCTCTTACCCCAAGTTTAGAAAAACATGGGCCAGGATTTTGGCCTAGCACTTATGAAAAACTGCCCATCTTTCATATGGAGCATAACAAAAGAAGTACAAAAATAACAGTGGATGCTACTTTATCACTGAGGCTATGAGGTGCAGGGAAAGGAGGATTTCTGCGAAGATAGAATTGGGCAAAAGTTAAGAGTTCACTCTGTTCTGAAATATCCTAAGTGAATATGGTGTAAAAACCGCAAAACATAGTTTTATCCTCAAAGGATGAAAAGGAAATAGAATTTTCAGAGAAGGGCTATGTTTGTGCTAGGGTGAGAGCTGGGAAGAACATTTTGTAAGAAAGTCAAATTTCAGCCAAGTACTGTGGCTCAGTGGTCAAAGTGCTCAGCTTTAAAGGAACAGGGGTTAAACCTTTAACAGTGGTTAAAGGTCAGCAGTTCAAACCCACCAGCTTCTGGATAACCCCCCCGAAACTATTGCCCTGAGGAAATCTTTAAATCTTTTTTTTTTTTTAATTTTATTGTGCTTTAGGTGAAAGTTTACAGCTCAAGTTAATTTCTTATTCAAAAATATATACACATATTATTTTGTGACATTGGTTGCAATCCCCACTATGTGACAGCATGCTCGCCCTTTCTAACCTGGGTTCCCTGTGTCCATTCATCCAGTTCCTGTCCCTTCCTGCCTTCTTGTCTTGTTTTTGGGCAGGAGTTGCCCGTTTGGCTTGTATATTTGATTGAACTAAGAAGCAAGTTCCCCACATGTGTTATTGTTTGTTTTATAGGCCTGTCTAATCTTTGTCTGAAAAGCAGGCTTCAGGAGTAGTTTCAGTTCTGAGTTAGTAGAGTGTCTGGGGACCATAGTCTCCAGTGTTCCTCCAGTCACTGTCAGACCAATAAGTCTGGTCTTTATTTGGGAATCTGAATTCTGTTCTACATTTTTCTCCCATCTGTCTGGGACTCTCTGCTGTGATCCTTGTCAGAGCAGTCAGTACTGGTAGCCAGACACCATCTAGTTCTTCTGGGCTCAGACTGGTGGAGGCTCTGGTTCATGCGGGCCGTTAGTCCTTTCAGCTAATAGTTTCCTTGTGTCTTTGGTCTTCATCATTCTCCTTTGCTCCGGACAGGATGGGACCAATAGATGTATCTGAGATGGCTGGTGGCAAGCTTTTAAGATCCTAGATGCTACTCAACAAAATGGGATGTAGAAGGTGGAAATCTTTAAAGCTTAAAGCTTAAACAGAAATTATCCCCCTTGACTCATCTTTAAACCAAACAATATTGCCGTCGAGTAGGATCTGACTCATAGTGACCCTATAGGACAGAGTAGAACTGCCTCATAGGGTTTCCATGGCTATAAACCTTTATGGAAGCAGACTGCCACGTCTTTCTCTTGCAGAGTGGATGGTGGGTTTGAACTGCCAACCTTTTAGGTTAGTAGTCAAGCCCTTAACCACTGTGCTACCAGGGCTCCTAATCAAACAACGTAGTTGTTGTTGCGTGCTGTCCAGTCAGTTCCAACTCACGGTGACCCTATCAGACAGAGTAGAACTGCCCCATAAGGTTTTCTAGGCTGTAATCTTTATGGGAGCAGATCACCAGGTCTTTTCTTCTGCAGAGCAACTGGTGGGTTTGAACTGGCAACCTTTTGGTTCACAGCTGAGTGCTTTAACCACTGCCCCACCAAGGTTCCTTAATCAAACAATAACCAAAACCAAACCCATTGCCATCAAGTCAATTCTGACGGATAGCGACCCTATAGGACAGAGTAGAACTGCTCCATAGGGTTTCCAAGGAGCAGCTTGTGCATTCAATTGCCGACCTTTTGGTTAACAGCTGTAGCTTGCCCTAGCTCTTAACCACTATGCCACTAGGGCTCCTAACCAAACAATAGTTAAGCTTAATTAGAAAAGAATGTTTGCCTTGAACATTGTGTTCTTTTAAAGAATTGTCTATATGAGATCAAATTGACAACAGCAAAGTGAAAGGTTAGATGAGAAGCTTAGGGGGCAGTGAGTTTGTGTTGATGATGTTGAAACAATTCAGAAAAGAATATCCATAAAGGTGGCACAGCTTGAAGAATGTAACCAACGTCACCTAATTGTACATGTAGAAATTGTTGAATTGATGTATGTTTTGCTCTGTATATCTTCACCCTCCAAAAAATCTTTTAGTTTATTTTGTACTTTATTGTTGTAGTTTAAGTGAACGTTTACAATTCAAGTTAGTCTCTCATACAAAAATTTATACATACATTGTTTTGTGACCCTAATTGCTCTCCCTGAACTGTGACAGCACACTCCTCCATTCCACCCCTGATTTCCTGTGTCCATTCAACAGCTCCTGACCATGTCTGCCTTCTCATCTCACCTCTACACAGGAGCTGCCCATGTAATCTAATGTATCTACTTGAGCTAAGAAGCACACTCTTCAAGAGTATCATTTTATGTCTCATAGTCCTGTCTAATCTTTGTCTGAAGAGTTGGCCTCGGGAATGGTTTTAGTTCTGGGTTGACAGAGAGTCCGGCGGCCGTGCTTTCTGGGGTTCCTCCAGTCTCAGATCATTAAGTCTGGTCTTTTTACCAGAATTTGTGTTCTGCACCCCACTTTTCTCCTG